GCCGATCGATGTGGCGGGACTCCGTCGTCTCCTTTGTCGTCGTCGTCGTCACCCTCGTCCCACCCCATGTGCCCTGTAAATTGCTTTAGACCCGACCCGGTTTGCGGCGTGGACGGTGTGACCTACTGGTGCGGGTGCCAGGAGGCTCAATGTGCTGGGGTGAAAGTGGCCAAGCTAGGGTTTTGTGAGGTGGGTAATGGGGGTTCTGCCCCTCTCTCCGCTCAAGCCCTGCTTTTGGTTCACATTGTGTGGCTGATCGTCCTCGGCTTCTCGGTTTTGTTCGGACTTTTCTGAATTATGGGTCTGGACTGATGATTCATTTGAATTGATTTTGTTGGAAAGCTCTAATTTTTTTTTGTAATCTAGCCAAGCCGCCAATGGGTTACAACAACAACAGCAACAGGCGTTTGTGCAAGAAAGACTTGATATCTTTTTGTCATCTTTTTTTCGTTAGGTTATCGTTGTATGGTAACACCCTCTCTTACTGACCGCTGTCATGACCAGTAGTAAGTAATAGAGGAGGACAGACAGGCGTTTGTGCGTTTTCATGTACATGCAACAAAAGAAAAACAAAATTAACGGCTAGTTTTTTTAAAATTTGTCTTTGTGTTTTTGTTTTTGTCACAAAACAAACATAGTCTTTGTCTCTTTGTAATACAAACAGCCTCCACATGATTCTTCCTTTTCGATTTTATAATTGAGATTTTGTGCTGTGCGGCATTTGCGTGTATATATATATATCTGTTAGCGTGATTGAGGTTATAAAGACAAAACTAAAACTAAAACAAGACCAAATCATTAATTAAGAACTACTTACAATTGTAAAGAGAACAGAGCAAAGAGACCCGGAGTTAACAAGGCCAGCAGCAGCATATTGCTTCTCTATCTACAAGTGTATCAAATCACAAGCCCAAAAAGAGCCCAACAATTCCACAAGTAGAGAACCAAGAGGATGAAACTTGATGGTCAGCGTCTAATCATCTCGACAGTTAGAAGATTCCTATAACCCAGAATGGCAACACAATCAGAAATCCAAACTCCGCTGCTATCTCTAAGCGAACTACCACAACCATTAAAATCGTGAGAGCCTCTCCTACGTCCATCTTAAGCATTCAACTTTATCCAACTTTATGGCAAACCAATATTTACAGAGGCTTGTACCTCAAGAGGTAGTGGAGAAAAACCTTGACAACCAAGGCTGCTTTTTTATACAATCAAGACTGCTTTTCCTATTTGTTCTTTTTACTTGCACATCAAGGCTTCGGTTTGACCCGATAAATAAAAATCAAGCGGATCTGGCTTTGACGGGGAGCCTGAAATTTACTTGCATATCAAGGTGGGAGCTTCTATAATGAGGATGCTATTTGAGGAGTTTATTTGAGGAGGCCCATCTCACCATCAAAAGGGGTGTGGACCCCCCAATGCACCCCCCCATGTGCTTTGTTTTTTATTGTTGATGGTGAGATTTCACCTCCTCAAATAACCTCATCACTCAACCTCCTCATTCTAGCATTTCCGTATCAGGGTACCCATCCCTCTATAACTATAAGCCCAGTTCTAACATTTGAACCGGGCCGTTAAGTTATTTGGAGCCCACTATAAGACCAGTCGGCCCATAATCTAAAATACGGCTAGTCGGCAGCTACGCCACACGTTGCCTGGTCGTCATTATCAGCATCATGGCGGCCTGAGGATAAACGCCGAGAAATTGTACCCGCCAGTTGTGACCGTTGGTAACGGAACCCATAGACTGAGAGAAATGCTTTCTTGCGCACCAATTGGAGTTGGCAACCCCATCGTCTCCCTCTTTCCCACTCCTCTTGCTACTCTTACTCTTACAAAGTTCAGCAACCGTGCTAATTTCCTCAAACCCTCCTCAATCTCCTCGGCTAATTACCAGTCCCACAAAATATCACAGGCCCACTACGACAGTCTTAGGGTTTTGGAATGGGACAAGCTCTGCGATTCCGTTGCCTCTTTTGCTCGTACTTCCTTAGGCCGCGAAGCCACTAAGGTACTCCTCCAACAAGCTCTTCATCCTCTTTCTTCTTTCTTCTTCATTTGTTTTATATTGACATTGGTTCTGCTGCTGCTGGTGTAATACTGCAATACATAGGCACAGCTATGGTATTTGAATCAGACATACGAAGAAAGCCTCAGACTTTTGGACGAAACCAATGCGGCCGTAGAAATGCGCAAGCACGGTGCTTGCTCTCTGGATTTTAGCGGCCTCAATGTCGTTTTGGTAATCATCTAAGTTAATATCATTCCTTTCATGAAAATATGATGACTTTGCCCACTGCCCACATAACCTTTTGCTTTGTTGTGTTTGAAGGTGCAATCTGCCATACAACATGCTCGGAGGAGTTCACCACTGGATGGGAACGAAGCGTTGGCTGTTGCGGCGCTGCTACAGTGCGCAGAGGTTTTACAGAGTAATCTTAAAGTTGCAATCAAGGAAGATGCAGATTGGTACACACGTTTTATGCCTCTTTCACCAGTGGTAAACACAACATTGAAATTTGAATAAACTACTACCAATTGTTATTTGTTAGCATACAATTTAAATGCATTTGAATCTACTTTAACTATTTTATGCAGATAATGGGATTTGTCATTAACCGATCACTCGTTAAGCAGATACAGCAAGTTATAGAGGAAGATGGCAGTGTTAAAGACTCTGCGGTTTGTTTCTGACTGAGCTAGTCTATATTTATTGTTTTCTTCCCCTTTCTAATAAATCTTTGCGTTTCTTCTTTGTGCTTCAATAGAAGTCTTTAGTTAACGTTATCTGATTGATTTTATTTATTTATAAATGTTCTATCTGTTTTCCCTGGATTCTTGTCTCACTCAAAACTTGTATTCCCTGTTTTAGAGTCCTACTCTGAAACGATTACGCAATCAAGTTCGGACACTTGAGGGAAAGGTAAATTCCTACTTTT